CGCAACTCACCAATACTACGTACTTACTGTGTTATAACATAGGCTAAACAGTAAAAGAGTAAAACTATAACAAAACAGGATTCAAAACTAGCATTCGGCGACGTAAAATGGCGTAACAACAATTTGTCATCATATAGTAGCAGTTTTTCACCATATGATTTCACATTTCTTCGCTGGCGTCAGAGTCTTCGTCTTGCACTTCGTTGCCTTCTTCATCTAACTCGCAGTCGCACTGTTCCTCAGTTTCATGGGCGGGATTACTGCAATACTTCATCCATTCACACAGATAGTCATAGTACACACTATGATGGGGTTGTTCTTCTATGTCCCGTATACCGTACTGCCCGATATGAGACATCATAGTCGGCAGATGACACTGGGGAGCGGAGCCGGAGTTATTTCTGTGGTAAATAAACTCCTCGAGGCATAACCAAAACCGATTGTACGTAAACCCGTTGTGCTTGCGCACCTGCCGTCGCAGTTGGGATATAACGCCTTCGACACGGTTTGAAGAAACCACAGTCCCATCTGGATCGACGCGGCCGAACTCCCCGATGGAGTGATTTACGCATAAATGGCGATAATTTCCCACTTCGGAATCAGTCCATAAACCGCCGCACTGTCAGTATGGGCAATACTTCCTTCAGCCATATGACGCTGAAAAATGGGCCGGATGGTATCCGCATTCGCGTGAATGATGTGATAAATAACAACTCTGTTTGATCCTTCTTCGCAGAAAACCAGAAGTTGAACCTTCTTATTCGACTTCCCACCATCCCGATTAGGAAGCTTCATCCCTAGCGTCGGATTTCCGCGTGCGTACTTCCTCTTACGACCAACAAAAGCCTAAAAAATTTAATAGAACCTAAGAAACCTAAGAAACCTAAGAAAACTAAGAAACCTAAGAAACCTAAGAAACCTAAGAAACCTAAGGAACCTAAGAAACCTAAGAAACCTAAGAAACCTAAGAAACCTAAGAAACCTAAGAAACCTAAGAAACCTAAGAAACCTAAGAAACCTAACCTTTCAGGGACCTAGCACCAAGGGACCTTTCAGTGGTAAACTGGTGGATAATGTCATCCACGAGCGAGGCTGGGGGGATACTGAGTAAGCGAAGTCCAAAATGAACGACATTTTTAAAACTCTTAACAATACCCTTTTTAACTGAATACAAACGCGAACTGCGATTAAGTAGAAAAACAAAGAATCAGTACGATGATAATAAGGTCAAACATGGCGGGCATCTTTAAAAGTAGCCGCTAATGCGTACATAGCCCACGCCCACTTGACGTAAGCATTACCCTCCGAACGAAAGTTACGTGGTTCCACCACAAACTGGCACTGCAAATGCGTAAAAGCTATGATGAGGCTATGCATGACACATGAAAATTAATTTTCTAACAAAATTTTTTTTTGTTGTTTTTTTGTGTTTTCCTCACTCGGAAATATTTTTTATGTACAAATAAAGGTCCCGCGGGTGATATCGTAAATTGGCGGGCGCGCTTCGCGCGCCCGCCAAATTACGATATCATCCGAGTTTTGCCGCGGGAGCATTTTTCCCGAGAGAACCTCAAGGAAAGTAGACCACTGAATATTCATGTCGCTCTACGCAATACGGAAACAGGACCGTATATTTTCCGTCCGGCCAGACTGGTGCAGAACTGCAGCCAGGTAAACATGTATCTCACGTGTGTCGCTGTTGATTCTGACGAGGCGGAGACCTTCCACGTTGTCCACCACTGGCAAGTGGTTCAATATCTCGGACACCGTCACGAAAGAAATATTCTGGATTATATCAAGAAAATCGTTGTACCGGTGGAATCTGTGCGGTACGCCGTGATCGACGAGTACCGGATTAATCACATGCTGGACATGATGTTTCGCGGTGGAGTACGATTGGATTCGTGGCGTTGGCCTGACTCGCTGTTTGTGGGCATTGAAGCGGATGCCATTCGGTTCATCATCTGGAATATTCACTGCCTCCATCCTGGATCATATGAGCCTTGCAACGATGACTTTTGTTGGGTGAAAAATACGCAGAAGAAAATTACTATCGGCATCGAGAAGTACCTGCTGGCTTACTGCGGCCGGCCGGAGAATGTTTTGACATCCGCGACAACCGGTAAGTGGCGCATCGTCACTGAATTCCTGCACGAAAGCTAGGGCTTCTCATTGCTTTGAATCTGCAGTTCTTTATTCGTACTGCTGCTCGTACGAATACTGTAATTATCGAATTACAAGCCCTGGGTCCTGTTTACGGGCCTGGGCTTGTACTACGAGCGATGCTTCTGTTTTTCGAACTGACTTTTCTGTCATTGGCTAATAAATTTCAAATAGGCGAATGTCGTAGCTGAGCACTTTAACCGGCAAAATTTCTTGAGAAACAGGAACTGTACAGATGTCACGGTTGTTACAGAATTTTTTGCGAGTTTTGTACATCCGTTCAGGCATCTGAATTTAAAGTAAGCTTTTTGCGGCAATATTCCCGTAGGCCCGAGCATAGGCATTTGAATTTTATTGTTGCCGTGCTTTGAATTGGAGTCCATGGGCGTCAGTTACGAGAGAGGTTGTATTTCGATAACTACGGTAGAATCACGAATCAGAAATGAGCGACGCAGCGCAATGATTAGCACAGCTGTCATGCAGCTTGTGGTTCATAAGCATGGTTGCGGTATGCACGAAGGTACGTATGCCATGAAGGCTGCTTCGCATCCGTACTTTGCATTTAAAGAAAGTGCGCCGGCATATTGTACCCAGCAGGTGCACATGCGCGGAAACTGTTTTTCCTAACGCATAAACACTTTTTTCTATATATTGTTACATTTCCGAGCCGCTAGGTGTGTTAATGCTAACGTGAAAGGGTTTGTGCGCGCAACATCCGGTTGAAACAAATTCCAGTTTTTTTTTTGCTTACAGTGCTAGACCGAGTGTTCAGTCAAATGGCACCAGAAGTCCTTTCCGAGGCGCTACATTCGCTGGATATCCATTCGCAAGTTACTGCCAAAAGGTGAGCTCACCATGCAGAGACAGTACTAAGTACTAACATCGTGAAAACTTATATTATGTGGTTTACACGAATGCGGTAAGGTATGAAATTATGATACACTCGTACGATCATTTTTCATTGGTTATTAACAATATTTCCCAGTACCCAGTTATATTTTTATCGGCAATTGCAGAGTGTGTGCACTGTGGAATCGGCTACTGCCGGATCCATCCACCGCCAAGTGCGTTATCATCGACTACGCGAATCTCACCGCTGAATGGACATGTCGCAACGAAACGGAAGGATACCGCGTCGGACGACTACTGCACCGATCCGTGCATAAAAGCACGTACGCGTTGGTTCTATGCAATGTTTACCACCGATGTGCGGATTTCCGACTACTTTCCACGGGGATGTTGGTTAAAAACCTCCTCAGCCTTAAGGGGATAATACTGCCTGTCATGGTCCTGAAGAATACACGCGAGCCCGCTGCTCGCTTCTATCCTGGGGACGACTACAATCCCGACGATCGCAACCTGAGCTGCATGATATTCAACGCACTGGATTTTATCGACGTATGCCAGCGACTGGTCTTTCGCAACTATAGTATCGATTTTGCGCAGTATACCGGTCCGCCTTTCTGGGATCCGATGCCCGGATTTCGGCCGGCATCAGCCGCCTTTAACTTTATGGTCACCATTCCCTCTGTGACCTTTACGAATGTCCATGGTAAACCGGAGAAACTGCGGTGTCTGCAAGAGCTAAAGCGGGCGTTAGAAGCCAGCTGTCCGCTGGTGGATCCGGCCGTTAAAATCTGGTGGCGGGCCATCCACGCCGAATGGGTGCGCACGGTGGGGTATCCAGGATCACGGTGGACTGTATTGCGCCAGCTGCTGAATTTGTAAGTTTTTGTCGCAACTAGACTTCAAAGTTCAACTCCAATAACGTTTGTCCTAGCTCCAGAGTATCTGCACTTGTACAGTTGTACTCGATGCTTCAAAATCGTTTACGCAAAAAGTATTATCGAATGATTCTTAAGACAACCTTAAAGTTTAACAGTGGCCAGTGGAAAATAGAAATGCTGTTGCTGTCTATTGCTGGTTATACTTAAATATCTGAAATAACATTTGGTTAAACATTAACGTTAGCTGAACATTAGGTACTGGTTACACTTATAAGCCCAAAAAACTTGAACAATTTCATTAATTAATATTCAGTTTTTTTTCATTATTTAATATTCAGTCATCGTTTTTACTGAAAATCTGGGCAGGCGTTAGGTTAGGTATTCGTACTGCCTGATGCCAGATGAAAATGAATGGCTCATTAACAGACAGAATACCGGGTGCATGAGCGCGTGATCATATCGTCGTAAACTGAAACTACAGATTTTGTAGTTAGCGATTTGTTGCAGTTACGGACCAATTATTGATTCGCATCTGTCGGCGGATTGGGACATTCGGGAATTGGACGACGATAGCCTGGGCAATTTGCAGTTGACCATGCTGGCCCTCCATTATTCTTTTGAACCAACCCCATCTCTTGTTGCAACGAGCCTTCCGTCTCTCGGCCAGAGCGCAACTGGACGCTGAGACCGTTAGGACATGTCATTGCCGAAGTCCGAAAATCAAGGACCATATGGCGCGCACACTATAATTTGCTGTATTATTAATTTCACTCGACTTTGGCAGCTTGTTTTCCGCGCCTTAAAGGGACCATATGGTTATGGACACATTTGCAATCGTTTTGCGCAAAACCTTTAGTGGAGATCCAAGTTGATTGAGGTTTCAGTTTTTGGTACGATTTTTGGTTCTATTAAGAATTTTCGGTAGGTTTCTAGAATTTGGCGGTTTATTTAATGGATGATAAACGATTTTGCCCGTCGCAAGGTTTCTCCAATTTCGAAAATGTGGTGATGTGCCAAAGCAACGCCTTAATGACGAGCCGCAGCAGCGTGATAAGCTGCCAGTATGCTTACTGTACGAGAGCTAGAGAATAAAGGTATTTTTTATGATTACGTGGCAGTAAACTTAAACAGATGATTGTTATCGAATTGTGTTCAAGAACGTTCAACAGCTCTGCGGAGAATTTAAGGAAGACACTGTACATCAGCCATGAAACGAGTATGCCAGTATAAAACGGAATCCAGCCGAAACAGCACGCACATCACATTACAGGAAGCACACGCCAAGCATCACTGAACAAACGTCCGAATATCAAACAAACTAGGCGACTTAGTCCGGCCTATCCCGCCGGCCACGCCCACCCCCGCCCCAAGTCCTCGCCTCTCCGGTGGCTCTCCCGGGACATCATCCGTGCTCTCGGCCAACCGACTAAGATGCCACTCACTCCATCTCGATTTCATATGCATGGAAAGATGCGGTTGGGCGGCGTAGTCGACAGGGGGCGGGGCCTCGACAGGAGTGGTCTTCTTCCGCCGGCTGGGCACGTACATCTGGGTGGGATAGCTGGGGAGTAGGGAGAAACGTCGCTCGTCTTCTTTACGGTGAACGAGGCCGAGTTTCTCGGCGAGACGCTTTACGGAGGAACTGGTGGTCATGTCGCGCGGACTGCTTTGGACCGGTTGACGCGGGGAACCGATGGTCGGCTGGATGACGCTGCTGGACAGCGATAGGGATGCCGGTTCTGAAGGTTTCCGGGTGGCGGAAGCCGGCGGGAATTTCAGGCAGTTTAGCGTGTCCAGTAAATCTTCCCATAAATCTGTAGAAGCCATTTCTCTCAATAATAAATAAACAAATATTAATTACAAATTTTGAAGCAGACGCTGACCTTTGGTTATGGAAGATGCCAAGAAGACAAAGCCATCCATAGCGTAATACGCGCGTAATTGTGCGCAGATGTCCGTCTGCTCGATGCGCCATCTTAACCAGTCTTTCAGTTCGCCCAGTCTGGAATGGGAAAAATGCCGATAAAAATAATTCAAGCAAAATGGCGAGAGAAATCTTGAATGTGTAAAAGAATGCGTACCGTAGTAGTTCCGTAACGAAGAGCGCAAAGCACTGCTGATCATTTTGGAACAGCGGGGAGCCCTCGATCGCTTTCACAAGTTCTTTAACGCGCACCGCCATCGAGGCGCCAGTTTTATGGGAATTCCGGCGTTTCTTGCCGGTGGATGATGAGCCGGTAACGAGCACCGACCAGACACTGTATCCTCGATGGATGCCGTCTTCCAGCAACCTAACGCGATTTATCTTATAAAGCGTTTATTGAGTCGTTAATTATATCTGTAGTAAGACCACGTACCGTTGCAGCGCCATAATGAACTGATGCAGGATCATCCGGGATAAGTTCTCCGCCTGCTGGTGTTTGCCGGCTTCCGGAGTCTTATCCTGAAAATGGTCACCCTTATACACTGTATGCGCTGCATGCAACAATAACTATTATTTAATTCTTTCTTTTTTTATTACTGTACGACACCCTGCACTTGGAGAAATTTTGTACAGTATGAGCAGCACGGTACTGTAGACAGGTGGATTTAAATCCGAGTGCGTTCAGCCAATAGCCAGCAAGTTGCAAGCCGTGTATGTGAGCAGTGAACTCAGTCGTACAACGTACGCGTGGCTGCACAGCTGAAACTTTCTCCGAGTGCAGGTGTCAGTACAGTAATTTTTTTACTTTCTAAAAATAATTGTCCTTTTAAATTTTTCATTTATTAATTAGTACTTATCAACTGCTACTCCTTGCTTGCTGCAAAGATCACCATATTTACGCACTTTTTGCATGCCGCGGAACCCGGCCAATCCGATCAGTCCAACAGCAGCCGCTTTCACCGCGGTCACGAGTTCTATGGAAAATAAAATAATTATTAAACTAAATTTGTCGATAAAGTTTACGAATAATTTTTCTGTACCTTGTTTATGCTTGAGATTGACAACAATCTGCGTGGGCGCCGTGTTTCGCGTATCCTTCTGCGAGAACTCCATAAGATCATCAAAAAGGGACATCCGTGCTGATTGCCCAGGTCCCACCATCTCCGCCGACTTGGACGACGAACTAGACGTCGGCGACGCCGGGAACACCGGGGAGCAGTCACACACCGACTGTGTCATCCCGCCGGTCTCCACCATCTTGAAACACGTCGGACACACCTCCTCCGAGTCCCGTCTCCGCAGGCGCTCCTCATCGGAATGCACGCCCCACGGGACGCTAGGTAGACGCTGCACTGCAGCTTCCGGCGCCCGGAAGAAGCGCTGGAACGGCGTCGGAAGCAGCACCCGCAGGGACTCCCAGTCGTCGACGGTGTTGACGCGAAGCGGGGCCCCGGCGTCACCGCCACCCGGGAGGAAGCGCTCCGGGCAAGAGAAGGGCCGCGGCATCTTGGTGGGCGGGGTCGGGGGTTGGGTGGCGGACCGGGTAGACGCCGGAGCGGCGGAGAGGAACGGGAGGTTGGGGGCCGAGTGTTTCGAACGGTTGTCGGTGGGGGTGGGAGTTGGGGAGGCGTCGGGATGGAGAGCGTTTGCGCTGGCAGTGTGGCGGTATTTTTGGGAGAACTCATAGTTGCGTTGGAGAGTCTCGGCGGTGCTGCAGCCGGTGCCCACGTTGAGGGGCAGGGATGGGCTTTGACGGATGCCCTGGGCGGGGGAGGGAAAGCCCGACTGCTGGCTGAATGCTTGTCGACCTACATTAAAATGCTCTTATAAACATTATCAGTCAAAATACTAAACTAACATTAATAAAGATAAATAAAATCAATAAATGAAAAACAAATAAACAAAATAAACAAATTAAACCAACTGAATCAAAATAAATAAAAAACAAATAAATAATGGTAATAAATAGAAACAAATAAATAAAAACAGATAAATATATTCAAATAAATTGAATTAAAAAATAAAAAATATGTGAAAGTACATATTAAATTAAAAACAAATAACATAACAAAAAACAAAAAAGAAAATAACAAAATAAATTAAATTATATTACCGGTACCTGGTGTGTTGGCGTTTTGCAACGAGCGCGACGAAGAATACCCCGAGGTGGCGCTGACATCACTGGCAGATGTCTCCTGACACTCGGGACTCCCGGAATGCGCCATCTTGGCCGTTGTCGCCCGCTTTCTAACTTCATTCAACGGCGCAATCACCGACTCGGCGGTGCGGCCGATCACCGACGCGCTCACCGGCGTTTCCATATACGACTCGGCCACGTCTGTCCAGCACCGCAGCTTCCCACCGGGGTCCGGGGCCTCCTCGGGGCACACCGTCCCGCTGTCCAACAGCGACGCATCTGGCTGGATATGCGACACCGCGCCGCTGTGCTGCAGATCATTGAACGCCAGGAAATAATTGAATTTACTGGACATGCTCGGGCGGCCGCTTTCCCCACTCTCCAGGGGCGACGTACTGGACGTCTGGAAGAGGTTGGAGGCGGAAGTCAACGGGGAAAAACGTAGGCTCCCACTGAGGTCCAATTCCAGGGATTCCGATTGACTGGGGGCGGAGCGATCGACCGGAAGTGAATGCCCGACAAATGCCGATTGATATAGTAAGCGTTTGGAATCTCCGGAATCCGTGACCTTTAGAAGGAGAATTAATATAATCAAAACGGAAATCGGTTAAAAAAAGAAAGATTTATGAAAGAGGCACACGTTCGGATAAAAGCTACTGGAGTTGCTTGCTTAGAATGACAGCATCACAAGACTGACGAAGAATGAAGGAATTGCTTTTCTCTCTACTTGCTTTCGCGTTGCTCGCTCGACTGACATATACAGCTGGGATATCGCAGCCGGCACCGCTGCAGCCGGGGCTAAAAATAATCATCCCGGCTGCGGGCGACAGAATGCGGGCTGACTCATAGAAATGCGCCGTTTCTCTCTAACTTTCCCCGTTCCAGCCTGATTGATGTGCGCAGCGAAATTAGCCATGCGGATCATGTTGCCGCAGCGTTAATGCTGTTGTTTATGTTGCGACGGTGCTGGATATGCAGTGCGGCGGGTCAGATTCTAATTAAGCCGAACCCGGCATCTGTTCTAGCGGGAATTTGCCTTGCTGCTCTGGTTGTACTGTATATTTTACCGGCATGCATCGACCGCTTATCGATCGATGCGCACACTGTTTGGAATTTATCCGGTTTATCTCCAATAACCATAATAAAGCACAGACAATAGTAATTTGATCGCTTCCTTATAATTATCGCTGATCTATGATAGTATTATTAACGGTGAAATTCAAACAGTTCTGGGCCGGTTTTCAGTCAGCCGAAATAATGCTGATTCAAAATCAAATAAAAAGTTTAACTGAACGACAAATTTTTAAAATGATTTGCTAATTATATTTTCTTCAATAAATAAATAAATTCAATGAAATATTTTTAGCTGCTGATATATCGTTATTTTCAGCAGCTTCTATATTGTATTTAGCTACGTCGGCATTTAATTTGATAAATTTCCCCGCCTTAAATTAATTTTTAAAATATTAATTTCCAAGATTGTTTTAAAATATAAATGTAATTGAAAAGAGAGAAAATCAAAACAATTTTTAGAAATCACTTGTCAACAGATTACGAAAGCTCAGCTATTATTCACGATTAATAAAACCAATATCAGAAAATTGTCCATTGGAGTGTACATTTCAATAAGTAATGAAAAAAACGCTACCCACGCGAACAATCATTGTAACAGATTGTAGCGGACGCTGTCGTGCTGCTTACAAGTTACAAGAAACGTATAATGCAGCTAATAACATTAACGATTAAGTAAGCAGCTCCCTGCATACGCAGCAGGTCAACGAAACGAACAGGAAAACACAGCCCGCGTAACGCACCTAATCAAGCTTACTTATCCTGACCGCCGGCACTCCAGCAGCTGGTGCGTGTACATTCAATAAGAGGATTGTTAGGAGGAAATCTCATCCGGAAACAGAAACACCGCGATCAATACCGACTCACCTGCGCGGCGAATTGCGGCGGCGGCATGGAAGCGGACATCTGCCGGGGTGGACGGTCCGGCGCGGCCGGATGCAGGGAGTCCGCCAGACCGGGGTGGTGGTAGTGCAGCCCGAGGGCGGCCGACGGCGAGGTGTAGTCATCATCGCTGTACTGCCAGCGCGAATCGCCCGAACATCCGGAGCAGAAACACGGTGCGGCGGAACTGAGGAGACTGGTGGAGGCCATGGCCTCCCCGGGAGTCCGGGAGGACCAGGCTGAGGGGGGCTGGCTGCCGGCCGACATGGAGAAGGAGGTGTTCGTTCCGCTGTCTACATAATAAAATTAATAACGCGGCCGCTTTTATTATAACTAATCTATACCGGAATAAACAACATCAATTAATAAGCGTACGTCCTAATTTTATATGTAACTAAAGGTCATCGAGGGTTGCTGGTCTCTTTCAAATTAATTTCTGAATAGCCAAATTAAAATAAACAAATAATGTGCGTCGCAATTTCAGTGTAAATGGCGCGTTAAAGGTACGTAAAGGCCATCAAATAGGGCAGCTTTTATTAAAGTTAGTTTTAAATAAATCAATGGAATTACTTAAGATAAATACGGCTCAGTTTCACATGTAAAGGCGTGCTACATAACTGAACGCCCTGGCTTGCCGCTGCTTCTTTTAGAACTAAATTATATAATTGATTCAATGAAATTATTTAACGAATGTATGTCGTTTTAAATAAATAGCGTGCTGATGTTAATAAATGTCAATGCACACGGCTGATTTCATTAAAATTAATTTATTATTAACCAGAAAATTATTTAAGGTTATTATAAACGCCTGTTTAGATAAATTTAAAACGCATTTCATGATTAAAGGTCAGTGGTTGAATCAACCATTACAGAATTAATTTCAATTAAAAATGCGTATATCTATTTTATTTGAGTTAAAATTCTAGAATATTTCATTTTGGTTAGGTTAATAGACCGAAGGTCACAGGGCGTGGCCACCGACCTTGATGGCGCTGGTGCGGCATCCGCTGCAGCGGCGCCTCGTGGCCCTGCAGTCCCAGGCACAACTGCAGATCGGACACGGAGACGGAGCAGTGCTCGGTGAGGTGCGACTGCGTCATGGCCTCATTATCGCCGGCGACCGGGACGGCGGCGCGCTCCTTCTCGCCGGCATCCATCAGCAGTGTCAACATTGTACGCGTACCCCTCTTCACCGCGCGATCCAACAATGTGGGCTGCTTTTTTCGGCGATCGACGGAACTTGGCGGCCTTATCGCGTTGTTGACACAAGACAGTAGCACACTCAGTCGTTTACATAGACGTGACTGTTAGCGGTAGTGCAATGTGCCGTGAAGTTGCAGGGAAAGAGGAAGGCAATTCAAGCGGAATGGCAATGGAATGCTGTAAAGGAACGCGGGCAATTAGGACTGCTATGCCGGTTGCCGTGTCTTAGCCTCATTTCTCACGTTTTTAACGTTGTTAAATAAACAGCGGAATTTTTTTTAAACCACCTAATTAAACCTATTTATTTTTTTTAAACCACCTAATTAAACCTATTTAAAAGCACATAGACCTAAAAATTATTTCTCTAACGGCTCTTAATCATAACCCCTAACGCACACCAGTGATCTCGCGATTTCCATGAGAGTAACCTGAATTCTTGAGGAAAATCAAGACATCACTTTCCTGTCCAACATAATTTTTGTTTCTCCAAAATCTCTAAGCTGGCAGTTTGAACTTTAAAGTGGAGAAAATTCACTGACTTGCGGCGCCTGACGCAGTTGCAACCGCTCGGTGTAGCAGCGCGACGCCAATTTTATCTTAACAGTTTTCGAAAATTCCCTTTCTTTTCCTTTTTATTTTCGGCACAAAAATAACTTTCTCTATATTACCTGCATTCAAAAAATCAGAATAAATTACAAGAACTATTCCCGATTCCAAATACGTCGTTCGAAAGCAGACTGATGTAATTTGGAAAACCACCGCATAGAAAAATACACGTATTCAAAACTGACGCGAAAAATATTTAGTGCCAGTGAGAAGCTCGTAAATCTAAATAACACATCCGGCGCTAAAAGTTTAAGGCGTTGGGTAAATTGGCTATTTTTCTCAAGCTGTCTCCATGCTGGTTTTAATTCCTCCCAAGATGTGGCTAAACACGCTACAGTGTCTAAAGGATTGAATAGGGATATTATTGACCAGAGGCGTCGTTGAAGAGTGCCGGCGGTTGACCTAATTGAAGCCTATCAAACTAACTCTCTGTCCTGGAATTGTACTTGTTATTGCTGTTGATCCAGTGCAGACATTGTCCACTGCTAACGGCATATATACGCTGATATTAGCCTCAACGAGGAAGGAAATGCCCTGTCGATACTATCGCTATCGATCCGATCCGGCTCGCCATCACGCGCTTCTTCACTGCGCGTCAACAGTTTAACCCAAAATCTGAGCGCAGAAACTTAAAGTTTTTGAAAGTGTTTTTAATGGAGCCCGCTAATTGTCCCAACGACGGACACAGCGGAGAGCGACGCAGCGGATATGATGACAGCTGTCGTCTGCCGGGCTGTCGGCGCTGATATGACAGCGCAATTAGTTCCACCAGTCAAATGTTAGAACAACACGGCATTACACGTTCTCGTTAATTTCCAGCAACAATTTATGTTCAACGAACTGCTTTCTATATATGACTCGAGTTAGCCTATAATAATGATTCACATAAATGACGAAATTCTAACACATCTTACCAGTGTATGTGGAAAAGGGCGGTTAAAGGAAATAAATACAATTATATCCAAAAAATGCCACACAGTCCAATGGGAATTTAATGGATGAAAACGTTTCGGATCGGAAGACGTGCACTAATGTAAGGAATCCTTATGACAGAGTGTTGAGGATAGAATGTCGTGATATTTAGTCAGCGCGCAGTGTATGCCGAAAAACCGAGATTGAACGCGGAGCAACGGCATTCTTGGATGCGTCAGACGTCAGCCGCAGCAGGAGGATAGTTGCGCTGTTTACTCAGAATGAGAGCCGAGGAAATGTGATGTTTCTTCATTTCTCTGCACAACTGCAGTTGATCGATCCGTGCACGATCGATATCACATCACGAAGCTATGCAGTACTTGGACCTTTCTCACCAACCGATCACCTGCGGTATATATTTTGAGAAATTAATCACCCCATACGCATAAATTGCGTACATATATGATATATGTACATATGTGTACGGAACTGTATACACACTAAATATAGATGTAAACATGAGATTATGCGCATAATTATATCAACACATGAATATACACCCAATACTTCTATAGATGTATATACTGTGCATACATACATACACGCATATGAACAGTATAGGTATGACAACAATAGGTATACGCAAACATATACTTCAGTATTTAAGAATATGAATATGATAAATATAATTTTTGTATATGATTATGTGTCTGATATATGATACAAAAAGACATACTACCAGAGCATGTTAGCAGAGCTAGAATAATTTGCATAAATACATTAAAAATAAGAATAAACACGTACATGTGTACGTTCCCAATGTAGATCGTCTATGTATGTATATAGTAAATATGCTTACAAATATGTTGTCCATAAAAAGTATTTATACGTATATGTCTGTGTACATACATGCTTCTGTACATGCATATTCAATATACAGACGAAACTGGAATACGTGGGTGATCAGTTGTTCAGAATGTACAGCGCAAGTGATCGGTTATCGAGAAAAGTCAGAATACAGCACCTTATCAAGAACAACCGGCATTTTCTACAGCTGCCCCTGTCTTGCGCCGCGCACTGGAAAGAATGTTTATACGAGAAAGTTTTGTGTATTGCCCGTTAGTTAGCGTTAGCAGCCGGTTGTAGCCGACTTCCGGCCAACCCAACTGTATCCGCCCTGTTGCCTTCAAACTGGCCCGCAATGAAAACGAATGCTTTATTCACAATGCGATGCACTTTTTGCCGGCACGTTCGCTGTTTGACAGTGTCTGTTAAAAACTGCATCTGACATTGGAATAAATGTTGACAATACAGCGTCGCTAATGAAGCCGCGATCAATGTCAGGCTAACTCCATCCGACAGCGCCGGGTTTTAGGCTTTTACATTAATGTCGGTGTTATACAACAGTAGCATCGTTAACGCCGGAGGATGGAGCGGAGGGTTGTCGGCGCGGAGGGTTGATGGGGGCGGCGGAGCGTGGCGAGGGGCTCCAGGGGGAATAACTGTCGGCTGACGGAGTGTCGTACGCTCGACCCGCTCTCTAACAGACGGTGATACACGCCACTGAACAGGGAGACGGCGCCCAAGCGGAATTCACGGCTCAACGCCAACAGGAAGACCTAATCCAAAATCACCAAGAATTCAGCATACTGTACTGTATTTCTCCTTTAAAACAAATAGCTGCCAATACGCTGCACTTCGAAAATGCGTTTAATTAAATCGATCTTAAGGAAAATAAAATTGTAATTGTAAGCGTAGTACTGTAATATAATTTTGTAAAAAAAAGACAATGCTGAGAATAAAGCCAAAGGACTAAAACGAAATTAATAAATAATGTTCGAATTAATCAACACAAAATCAAAAAAATGTCTGATGTTTGAAAGATTCACTGAGTTTATTGGCTTATCAGATAATTTTCGTTTTCCGAAGCGCGTACACCAGTGAACATCCGTAAAAGTTAAACTAAATTCAGCGACGAACATACTGAAACCAAAAAAACTGAAATGAAAAATGTTATGGAATTCAAATCAAAATTAGTATTAAAATAACAAGGCCGAATTAAAAATCCTTGGATTTTAATAGGGTGTATTCCTGAGTCCGGACACATTAAATTCCGATAGAAAAACCAATTCAAAAAACTGCAAAGATTAAAACTAACATTTCTAAATTCAGAAATGAATTGAACTGAAATTTAAAATGAACATTTATAAATTCCTATGGAATTTAAAATTAAAATGAAAAATTTCAAGGGTAGATTAAAAAGATTTTTTTAAAAAACAGGAGGAAATTTTTACCGGGCTTCCGGTGTATCCCAACGTCATGATAACCCGCGGCAGCAGCGTCCGCACGACACTCCCGAACCCACGCTGCGCCAGCATCACCGCCAAACTCGGCGCCGGGACAAAACACAACATATACCACACATACGCCAACAACAAGCACCGGAACAGCGTCGTCCGCTGCCGCAGCCGGGTCACCGTCGCCACTTCAGGTTGCACGCGCTTTCCCTTCCGGACCACCACCAACCACCCGCAGATGGCCAGGTGCACCGCGCCCTGCAACGCCAACGGCAAGTATCCTCCAAAGGCCGTAAACACCGTTAATAACCGCAGATCGGTGATTTTCAGGTAACTGCAGACCTTGGCGAAGGTCCGTCCGTACACCGCGCCCACCCCGACGTACACCGGGAGCCGGCACGCCACCCCGATGATCCAGGCGACGCCGGAAGTCATCCAGAAGACAGCGGGCGTGGAGAGGCGAGCGTAACGGTGGGGAAAGGTCATGGCGATGAAGCGGTGCAGCGCCAGGAGAAAGACACCCAGGATTCGATGTAGACGACGGCGACGGCAAAGAAGTTGGCTTCCGAACATGGGAAGGCCTCCGAGGGATAGATCGCCAGAAAGTCGAAGACCGGAACCATTCCCGACAGAATTATATGTAAAATCTGATGATGAATGATTGTGTAACCGGAGATCGTCCGTAACGCCGGGCGCTGGACGATGGCGAAGATCACGATAACGGACAGAAAGCAGTTAACATAGCATAACGCGCCGTACGTGATTTCTAAGGCGAGAACCGACTGTACAACTGGAAAAGAAATATTAGCGGAAATATTCGTGGAGTTCATCGTTATGAAATTTCAAAACTATATCGCAGGAATTTTCTGGATGATGGTGCCGATCCCATAGTTAACAGGAAGACGCAGTTCCCACGGGAATTGTTAATATTGAGCTAAAGAAAGCCGGTTGAATGGAACAGCGCGCCACGGGAATTTGGCGGCACGTCAGCGCTAATTGCCGGTAAAATCCGGGTGCTCAGGAGGGATCTGTAATCGTCCATAATTATGCCTGACATCCGGCAAGCGCCAATGTCCTGGCGGGAGACGCAATTAAAGGTCAACCTTAAAGTCGGCTGTCTTCCGTTTAATGTTTCCTGGTAATTCTGGAGCAATGCTGCTTGTTGATTGTTCGGTTTTCGACACGCGCACTGTACGCTAAAACCTGAAACCAGCTGATTTGGTAAGCTCTAACTGCACGCTTTATTACTGTAATCCGAAATCCTGAGAAAACAAAAAACCAGGATCGCGCAGTTGGGCGGGATGTACGTAAACAAAACGATTAGGAAGTTTTGCTGCGTCATTATTCCCGCGGCGCATAATGGTTACGTTTTCGTATTTAAGGCATCTCGTTAATTTATAGCGGGCACAGCTTGACATAAGAATAGCGAGGCGGAGATTTATGGATGATTTGTTGGAAGAAATGCCCACAGGAAAGGGTGCAGACAAGAAGAATGACGTCGGTTAAATATTAAACACCTTTTTTCAAGCAAGACAGGAAGTACATCTATAGTCATACCAACAAGAAAACGACGTGACAAGTAACTGCTTGTGTTACAATAATAATTATAATAATTGTTATACGTATTGCAGTCTATATTAGACCACATAAATTATGAATTAATCATTGCAATTTCCCCATGATTTTTTTGCTTGAAAAGTTGTGAATTCCAATTAAATACAGACTATTCAACATACTTCAATTTTCGCATACTAACTAGGTCACTTTAACTTTAATTATACGTTTCCATATATTAATCTTCACCTCCACTTGGCGTGCTGCATGAATAACCGCGGACAACACAACTTATTGCTTGACTTGCTTTATTCTCTGTACATGTATATCAATTTACATGCAAAATTTGAAAGAGGTTGGTTCATAATGAGACTTCTGGTACAGCGCGACACTTTTAAACTTTTTGGATTTTGTCGCCCTCATAACTCCGAAAACAGGTTTTGCGGGGGAAAACGTGTTTGACGCCTATGTATGTATAACAAACCAATTGGCCACACAAAGTCTAAAAGCAATCTAAAAAAGTAAAAATATTAGAAAACAGTCACATACAGCAGCTTACAGCGGCGAACATTGATTAATTATGGCGAACAGTAAGAAACAGTAGAGAACAGTGGCTAAAAGTAGCAAACAGTAACAAAAAGCGGTGAACAGTTACTACATACAGCAACAAACAGTGACCAGCAATTTTGAACCTTGCAAACAGCACCAGCAACCTCGTTGTTTTGCATTTCTGTCACTAATGTCCCGAAGTGTGCCTACCCTCAGTGCGCGAAAGCGAAAGTTCCCCTTAAATGTACACTAATTTAGTGCAATGTACCGGGTGACTTTCCTTAACACGCGGACCGCATACCGTCGAGTATATTGTGTGGTGAGGAGTGTGGAGAACATTAGGAATGGAGCTGGTCATTACGAGAATTAAGAAATGACCTGGTAGGCTTTATTATTATTGGTACTGTTACATGCGCGGTATTAAACTAACAATGCTTGCAATATCCGAGACCATCTGCTATAATCTTGAACAGAATGCAGCGAGTCTTTTGTACTATGATACCACAAAGTTATAGCTTTCACTCGAGCGCCTCGTCTGTCATCATCATAGGAAACACACTGCTGGGCCTTGAGAAGTGTTTCTTCCAGTGCTTCTCTAGCGTCCTGCGCCTTCCTCTCGTTGAGAATCTCCCAGGGCCAATCCGAAATGTCTGGATTGTCGCATCTGAATATCTGCAGTTCCTTCACGCCATGGACTGCGGTGATGGTCAGCACCTTGTCGTGATCAATGATAAACTTTATAATAAGAGAGCTGCCCTTCGGGGCTGGTATTATACCGGAAATCCTGTACATACTTATGAATTCCTTGACAGTGTCTGTTTCCTCATAGACATACATGTAGATAACACGCTGATTGTCGGCAGACGTAGTGAACACCAAATCTTTTTCGGTCGGCAAAAAACTCCATCTAGGTATGACTGTAATCTTTCGTTGGCCTCGAACTTGCACTATAAGGGCATACGGGACCTGCTGCTCTATTTCGATGCCTTGGTCCAGTCCATCCAGTACATTCAGAGCAGAGTTTGCTGCCCGAGCAGCCCCTTCAGGAATGGCGATCCGAGGGTCAACGGTCACGTGTACCCGCATGACAGGCAAAAGGTCCAATAAAACATCGGAGATTTGTGGGACGAACCGGCCACATCCCACTATGATAGCATCAGTAACGTCGGTCGCTGTTAAACTGGCACATTCTAGTGCTTTTTTCACTGGGTCGATAATTTTATGGAATAAATCGACACAGAGACTTTCCACCATCAACGGCGTTACGCTCATTGAAAAGTTTCTACCATGCAACCAAGGAATTTCAATGGTCTGACGATCACATCCATCAATTTGCTTACATGCGTTCAAAATTCGGTCATTCTGACCTGATTCAACGCTGTAAATGTTCTCGATTACTCCTGCTAAATGCTCCGCAATCCGCTCATCAAAATCTTTTTCCCCCAAGGAAACATCTCCTATCGATGAATGTAATGAAACCTTGCAAGATCAGCGTTATTGTTACTCAGTTTTACGATGGATACAATCAGCTGCTGGCGCTCCAACAACTCTAACACCAAAATATATCGTTTTCCTGGACCAAAATTCCTTATGCAGGGTATAACGGCAGCTAGTGCATCGTCAATTAACCGTACCCTTTCGATCCCCGCCATGGCCGCAGCTAGTTTTATGGCCCGACGTTCAGCTACCGTGAAATACGTTGGGACAGTTATAACAACTTTTTTGGTTTGACAAGCGCTTATCGCGCTTATCGACTCGGCCAGACGCATAAGGTTGTTAAATAACAGTGACGTTATTTCTTCTGCCGAGTAAGTTGTAGCCCCTCCACGTTCTATAATCTGGATTCGTGGAATTCCGTCTTCATTAACAATGTTATAAGTCGCAACATTTTTCTGCGCGGTAACGCGCTTGTGTTTGAATCTCAGTCCAATTATGCGCTGCAAATTGTAGACGCACTGCTTTGGATCGACTTCTTGATGATCCATCGCTTCTTGACCGCACAGTATTTTTGTTCCCGATTCACTGGTCTGATCGAACGCAATAAAGCTCGGAATTTGTGGCTCGTGCTGATGTGGCTCCGTAACAACCTCCAATCGACCATTGCGACAAACAACCACACTGCTATGGGACAAGCCGAGATGAATCCCAACAGCGACAGCACTGAGCGGTTGGTTTTGCTGTTCAATCAGCCTGCGGAGGCTTAACAATTTGTCCAATAGCGACGAGGATTGAATTCGTAGGGAAGTTGACGCAGTTAAGCATGACGAGATGCATTCAGCCAGTTGTATTGGAATGGAAAGAGCAATTAAAGGTGCATAGCCGTCCATAATTAATGCAGCATAGCGGCTATCAGGAATTTTGTCAGCATCAAAACCAATGTCTGGAGCTCGGTACAATTTGCGTTTTGTAATGCCTACAGCATTATTTATCATTTCCAATATGACACATCCCAAACTCCAAATATCGCTCTTCCGTCCCACTTTGTCCACGGAAAGATTTAGATACATCTTCAGCATTTCTGGCGACATATAGCGAAGGGTTCCGCGGATGTTGCAAATATCACCGGAACAGGTGGCGCTTTGTTGCATCTGCACCAAGTCATCTAAATCTCCAATTAACAGTCTGTTGTGATTATCCTGCCTGTGTACCAGCACGTTTCCAGGTTTGATATCACCGTGTATGATGTTGTTCACATGTAGATAATTTATTCCATCCGCTAATTCAGTAGCGTAACGAATGGCGGTTGGGACATCGAGAACGCTTGCATTTGTCAGTAAATTTGTCAGATCCCCACCTAAAACCAATAAGCGTTAACTACAACTCGGTGATTAAGAAACGGCTGGACATACCAGCGTAATAGTCCATCATAAGTTTGACCGATACCCCGCCGAACGCTGATGATCTTGCAACACTGACTTGATGGTAACTTGCGAGGTGATCGTGCTGAAACGTCAAAAGAAACTCCATTCGTCTGCGCCATTTATTCCAGTTTTCTGTGGTTGCCAGAACTGCTGACTCTTTGTGTAGGTGGATGATTTTGACAGCGATGTCTTGATCACCGATAAAGTCACCGGGTTCTGTTATGTTCGCTCTGTAAACAATGCCAAAAGTGCCCCGACCGATATAATCCTCCTCCTGAAAAGTATATCGACAACGTTTACCCAAGACTTCTGATTGGATATCCATCGAATATCACAGCAGATATTTTCGTAAAGTATTACGGTCCACACCGAAATCTTCATGTGCAAGTTATTTTGCAAGATAAAGACCGCGACTGTGTACTCAGTGTAGTCAGGCACTCAGGCAGATAGAACCAGGACATTTTTATTTCTCTCGTTTGCGAACGTGTGCACATAATGCTGATTGCTGAATACATATTCAACACAAAATATCATACTGTAAGATAAGATTATAAATGTAGTTAATAACGCTGTTGTCTGGTCACATGGAAAAGTTTAAGATAACATTATGCCGATAATCGTGAGTTTTGCAATAACCTTCAGTGTCATGATATTTACCGCCATCTTTGTAAGTGCCTTTTGAGAGCACTAATAGGAGAGAACTCGGGGATTAGAAAATGTTTAAATGCAGTAAATGGATTACCATAAATTTTGCAAGGGTTAAGTTTTGCAAGACTTTGCACTAATCTAACGTCGCTGCCTATCAGCAGAGGGTGAACTGGCCTTCGCCGAACGGAGGAATTATCTCTTCCAGCCTTTCTGGCTTCGATTCACTCCGTTACCGACTTGGTGTCGACCCTTCTTTCTGTTCATGGCGCAGTTGACGGCACAGTCGCTCAAGAGCTGTGGAAAGGAAACTCCCGCCAACCGGAAGTACCTAAAATTCCCTTCTGGAAATCTTGCTATCTCGATCGGAAAGCGTGGGATCTGCCTCTTTGCAACATCTCAGTGGCCACTTTACTGAAGTCTGAACGTTTTCCCGAATGATGAAGTTAAAAAGGCCCGCCCTCTCGCTCAGTCGGAACCATAAGCCGACATCTGGTTGAATGCGCTGCTTTCAGCCCATCTCGGGTATGTGACCGATTATGACGGTGCTAGGCTGCTAGCTAAACTTACCAGTAGCACTTAGGTACAATACAGAACGAAATGGTCGCATGGCCGCATATCTACATTCAGTACGTGCTTCACGTTTCATGTTTCGCGTTTTATGGGCTTCGCCTTCATCAGGCTTCATGCATATGCGTTTTCCTGTGTTTCGTGCGTTTCCTTTGTTTCATGGATTTCTTGCGTTTCGCGTGTTTCACTCCTCAGAATGTTTTATGAAGCTCTGACGCTCTTTACGTTTTCGGAGGTTTATGGTTTCAAATTTGTCGTCAATATGTCAAGTTGAGTCACCTTTTAATCATTGTCCAAACTCACACATTCTCTCGCTGGCAGTGTATCCCAACGTGAAAACGACCCGCGGCAGTAACGTCCGCACGACACTCCCGAACTCGCATTGCCTCGCATTACCGCGAGACTCGGCGCCGGGACAAACCGCCACAAAGACGACACATACGCCAACAGAAGAGAGCGGAACGTCGTCCGCTGCCGCAGCCGGGCTACCGCCGCCACTTCTGGTTGCACAGGTTTCCCCCTCCGCACCACCACCAACCAACCACAAATCGCCTGGTGCACCGCGCCCTGCAACGCCAGCGGCAAATATCCATCCAAAAATAATGTTTAAGAGCAGATGGTGGATAATGGTATAACCGGAGATAGTCCGTAACGCCGGGCGCTAACGGACAAAAAACTGTTAACGTAGCATGACGATAACGGACCTAAAACAGTTAGCGTATCATAATGCGCCGCACGTGATTTCCAAGGCGAGAACCGACTGGACAACTGGAAATGAAGTACACATGTATTTGCGGAAATATTCGTGGCGTTCATGGCGAATCTCAAGGAAAACTGTATCGGCAAAATTTTCTGAATGATGTTGCCGATCCCGTTGTTAACAGGAAAGCATGATTCCCACGGGAGTTGTTAATGTTGAGACGTTAAAGAAAGCCGGCGCAGCGGGATTACAAATCGACGTCAGCCCTAATTGCTGGTAAAACTCCGGCTTCTCTGCTTTTCGGTTACCTTCCTGCGGATGTCGCGGTTGCCTTACCGGCCTAATTACGACCAACAGGATCTGTCAACGTCCCTAATTATGCTCGACATTCGGCGCGCGCAGATGTCCTGGCGGCATACGGAATTAAAGGTCAACATCAAAGTAGCCAGTGTGTGTTCAGCGTTTCCGCTTAATTCTAATACATTGCAGTGTGTTTTACACGCGCACTGCGTGGAACTTCCAAACTAGCTGGTTTGGCATGCTTAACACAGTACGCTTAATGACTGCTATAATCCGAAATCCTGACAAAAACATGAAACCAGGATAGCGCGGTTAGACAGAATGTAAGTAAACAAAGCGATTATAGGGAGTTGTGCTGCGCCATTATCACCACGGCGCATAATTGTTACGGTTTCGTATTTGACATCGACGTTGATTTATAAGGGACACAGCTTGACATGAGCATAGCGAGGCGGAAATGCATGGATGATTCGTTGGAGGAAATGTCAACAGGAAAAGGTGCAGACAGGAAGAATTACGTCGCTTGAATTAATATTCAAGACCTTTATACATTCCAATGGGATGATGACGTGACAATTTATTGCTGGTATACATATAAATAATTGTTACACGTGCGTATTGCATAATAATGGTCTGTAATAATTGGATTACTGGAAAATAGTAGTTGTTATAATAATGGACTACAGGATTCATTGGATAGTTCATTGTTTTTGTCCCATGAGTTTTCCGACTAAGTCTAAAAGGTTATGATTTTGTCCTAAATACAGGCTATTCATGATTCTTCGATTTATCGCATATTTTATTCACTTCAGTTCTAAGTGCATGTTTCCATATTTTGGTCACCCTTCCCACGTGGCACGTTGAATAACTACGGGCTACACAACCTGTTCACTGTTGTACTCTCAGTCTGTAGATACCAGAGTATAATAAATCCGAATTGTTGAAATTTGTACGCATGGAAAAAAGTTGCTTTGCATTGCATCGGTCGAGTTTCTGCAAACCGTTTTATTTTTGTACGGTTTCCTTGTGAAATCTGTTGACACTATGTTTGTTGAAATTTTGTTTCTTAGAAAATTTCACCAGGCGCATAAGGCGTGGCTGGCTGGTGTAGCGCTGGGAGGGTGTGGCATCCACGTGGAAATTTTGATTATATTATATTGATGGAAGAATTCGTGCTCATTTCGTACAGAACTCACTGAATTTACAGAATAATCGATGATATATTATAAAGGTCACAAATGTCGGTTTTACTGTGGGCAATCGCGACCTGCTGCAAATTGCGCTTGAATTCGGTAATCGTGTTTTTACGCGCACGATTACACATTCTATTTGCACGGTAACTTTTTAACGCGATTCACCAGCGCAAGCCATATAACGTGTACGCACTGTTAATTTAACTGTACAGTCATCAATAGTGTAATTCTGCAATCTGTCGCAGTTGCGAACGGCGTTTGCTCGCAACCGAAGCTGACCAATCCTGCCAACTCGCCAAATATTCAGAATTAAATCACTTTGACACATCGATGTGACGTTTCCATTTTCAGCAGCTGGCCGGTACCAAAGCACAGCGAACAATATTTCCGTTGCACGATAAAATAATTTAAATTTAAAGTATGCATGAACCGACAAAATAAACTTGGGAAGGAAAAATTAATGTGATCATAGCTGAATAAGCGCACGCTGCCGGCGTGAAAAATAACTGTGCTTCACAGTCCAATATAGGCTGCAAATGTCGTCATCCGCAGAATGTTTATGTCGTTAATCAGGTCATGAAATCTTGTCTTTACCCGCTGGCAAACAACTGCCGCTCCTTGTTTATCAATTTCTACAACGGCAAATGCCATACAATTTGTTGAAAGAAAAGCATTACTCAGAATATGTCATCTACGTGCAAAAATGTTATCTTATGAAATCACTGATTTCAAATTCACCAATCCCTTGTTAATCAGCTAATGAGGTGCAGTTACTTACGTATCTGCTCCTATATAAGCAACCTTCGTATAAACCGTCGAACAACAACATATTTGTGGTTCCGTTCCTCTTTGGAGAAGCTCACACACCGTTCCTCTTGTTGAAAATATCTTTTGTCGTCGCTTACTGCTCACTTTCGAAAGTAAGTGCATTCCTGATATGCGTTTTTTTTTACCACGATAACAACTGCAGCAATCTTCATTTAAATCTATGTTTAGTGTCAAGCGACAGCGATAGCCTGGGCACTATCGATTATGGATCGTCAAGTACTGAGAGCTCATCTACGCGTACTGCACCATCGGACAACAACCCTCCGAGTAGTGCCTCAGTCACGGACAGCAGCAGCTCCACCGTGTTTAACGACAGTTCAAGCAAGAGTAGTGAGTACTACCTCAATCCAATGGCCACCCCCAGCTCGGACAGTAGCAGTTCGTAAAACGATGAGTTTTGGAAAGACTTGACTTTGTGTTCCCCGTGCCGTTGGTAAAAGTCGCTGCAACGTAAAACTCTAGATAAAATCCTGGCTGTTATCGACCATTTATCAGTTTTTGTTCGTCACCTTCGCCTCGTTTTGCTATGATGTTTCAGAGAAAGACAGCTTATTTTATTTCTCGTCGTAATTTTTCCTTGGGTTTAATTCCTTCCCTCCTGATCGCTTCGATTCTAATATGAATTTATCATCTGTATAAGCTGTATAGCTGATTTGCATAAATAAAACGAAGAATGAGCCAAATGTTTTTCGATGATAGTTCAGTGGGTAGTAGTTAGTCGCTACGAAATGACCTTTTAACGTGGTTCAACAAAAAGGTTACCGTTTATTGGAATGTCAGTAGTACGTATTTTAAATTCCAAGAAAGAACAAATCTCTCTTTTTACCGCAAATTGGATTTTGAATGAACGTTGAAAAGGCTATTAGTTGCCTACTCGTAGGGGGTGGTTTTTCGTACACCATTTCCTTATAGGTTTTGCGCATTACTGTCTGTATGCTACCATTATTACTCTGAACGTATTGTTTGTTGGCGATCATACTGGTGAATTTAGTCGCTTTAGTAGAACTAGTCGCTTCGTTTCACAAACTAATAAATTTACCTGCGCCTGAAATGTTTGTCGAAAATAAATAAGCACATTGCAATCACGTGAAGTAATCAAGAGAATGAATATTTCCACGATTAAGGCCACAGCCGATGCCTTTGGCGACCGTTTGAAATTTGAATCGAGTCTACTTTCTTCGTGTACGGATTATTATTGGGATCGCACAGTTTTTTCATTACTTTTATCTCGCATATTTTAGCGACAAGCTGACGACCTTCGCCAAATCGGCGAAGCGGAAGACAACCTTCCTTATTACGTCATCACTTCCTTATCCCGTGATTTTCTTGTCTTGTCAGGACTTCTTTATCCCGTAACTTTTTAATACGCCATGTCGCCATCCCGTGCACGATGCGGGATATAGAGAAGTCACTAACATTGTAAGTTAATTAGCAGACATTTCCGACAACTCCGTAAACGATTAAATTATCGTGCTCGAAGAGCGCAGAGTCGCGCAGGCATTAGTCACACAAACTCCGACGAACACCAAAAGCCGCAAATATTGCTGTATGACAGTGCATCTGCTATGGAACAAGAACAGACGAAACTGGCGAATAGGCGATCTCGAATGTCGATGTGTTTCATGTTGTAACGTTGGCCAGTTTCCCGACGAGATTCGCAGACCCGTTGCGGCCATTCCAGAAAAGCGATCCCACGATACTCCGAAACTGACAGTTTGGATTCTGGTTTCGTATTTGGTCTGTTTGGTTTTTCCATCCTCTTGTTTATTCTCTTGTTATTTGTCTTGCCTGCGCTGTGGCTTCGTTTTTGGGGTCTCCTCGCGGATGGTCATACAAGCGGTAGAGTGATCAAAGCGGTCCTCAGTTACCAAGTTCGGCATCGGTCTGCAATTACTATCTCTGCTAACTAACCCCATTTCCGGCAAACTATTCAGTCCGAAAATACGAACGGAGAGGGCGGAGAGGGCGCTTAATTTTAATTCGGCAAATTAATGTTTCTCTTTTTGTTCGGATGCCTGGAATATAATGTATCTGTACAGAGTATGCACACTTTCTGCATGACTACAAGTCTACAATCACGAGGAAATGCTTAACCTTTAATGCTGGAATGATTTGTTTAAATTAAGAATGATGGGGCGTGTTTAAATTAAATTAAGAATGATCTCCCACCCACAACCTGTTTCAAAAATAAGGGCTGCTTCCGGAATTACTGCCTAATGCCCTTTTTTTTACATTTTTTACATTTTACATTTTTTAAATTACATTTTTTAATGCCCTCCGAGGGCATTAAAAAATGTGGGTCGGCTTACTTTGCCTTTGCCGTTTTAGTTAGCCTTTTTCGACTTTACCTTTATCTTTGCCGCCGTCAAAACCTTTACCGTTTTAGTTTACCGTCAAAATTACCGTTCAGAAAGCCGTTGCCGTTGATTAACCGTTAGCCAATAAATTACCGCTGACACTGTACCGCTTTCCTGGACATTACCTTGTTGCACATTTTAAGTAAGTAAACGAAACGTAACGTACACGTACATCGATAAATGTGGCACATTACCAGTTATTAGTATCAACGTAAATACATTGTGCGGACATATGTAAAGTTTTACGCAGTTTTATTCCTAGCCACACGAAACAAAAATTGCAGAAACCGCAAACATCATAAATTTGTGCAACATTTGCGTAATTGGTCCATTAGTGTTACACCATGCTGCAAAACTTAATACAGAAGTTAAAGAATCATTCTATGGGTACAAAAATTATTCCATTGTAAGTGAGTTAGCCAGAATATGCTTTCATACACACACTTTCCAAGTTACAGAATGATTTTGGCGTAATTACTCGTACAAATTTCGAATAATTACTCGTACATAATTACTCGTACATATTTTGATAACGAAAAATAAATTAACATCCGCGTCGCACTGCTTTGCTACAGTGAACCAGTAAATTTTTGTGATTGCTTATCCTAGAGTTCTTTTTGCATGTATTTATAGTTCATTACATTCATCGATGTGTGTACTTTACGTTTTGTTTACTTAAAACGTATATCAAGTAAATATACAGGGAAGCGGTAAAGTATCAACAGTAATTTATTGTTTAACGGTTAATTAACGGCAAAGGCTTTCTGAACGGTAATTTTTGACGGTAAATTAAAACGATAAAGGTTTTGCCGGCGGCAAAAAAGGCAAAGGTAAAGTTGAAAGGGGCAAACGGAAACGGCAAAGGTAAAGGGGCGGTAAAGGTAAAGTAGGCCGACCCATAAATGTCAAGCGCCACAAAATGCACTGTATACCGCCAAATGATTCCTATTAATTCTGAACTTATGCTTTGTTTTTGAACTTTTCTGAACTACCGCTTTCTGAACTTATTCTTTTACAGTGTTTTTGTACTTCTCCATTTTTCAATCAACCTTACCTGCCCCAGCTTGTGAACAAGTATTTGTTGGGCAATACTCATAACTGGAATGCTGGAAAATCATCATGAACCGAAATTCATCTCCGTTCCAGTTGCTAAAGTGCTTCTAAATGCCCTGAAGGAACTTATCGTTATTCCTAATTTTCAATCAATGACTCAACAGCTTTATGATAAAATCGTAACTATGTACTTTGCTCCAAATATCAACTACATTACTTAGGTCACTGAGTCACTCCAGCTCCACAGCGAGTCGTCTGACGTGACGGCTCGCCGTGCAACAAAATGTGAAATCGTCCACGTTGCACTTACCACTTACCAGTCGGAATAGTGAAACAGTGCAAATTATTTTCAATGCGTGCGTACGATCTACGACTCTACAATCTATAGTAACAACAAACATCATTTCTCTTATATTGAAGGCACCAGTCGAAACCGTGGCAGTCAGCAGAGAAGCTCTTCACTTCTTGCCAAACACCTCTTCCTAAATTACCGTGACTAACTGTAGGTATAAAATAGTTATCGAAGTAAGGAATGCTAAACGAACAATAATGTACTCGTAGTTACACTGCGCAGAAAGGAGGGACAAGCATTTGTATTTCCTTGTCAACTTATCATAGACATGGATAGCAGCCAAGGCACCGCCGGCGGCGAAGAATTCTATGGGATGAGCTATCAGTATTCTTGCAATTTCAAGCACCTTCTCGGGACCGGAGCATTTGGTGCTGTGTATAAAGCACTGATTACGCATCAGGGGGATAACGCCGAAATACAAGGAGATGCTGCCGTTAAACTCAGTCATTTTACGAAAGAGACAGACCCTCTGCGCGATTTGGAAAACTGGGAAAAACGTCGCGCGCGATGGCAGAAACTAGTCAAGCTGCGACATGATCGATTGTTAACGTATCATAAAATCTCTGTGTACCAATCCGCAAGAGGAGCCAGTGTCGAATATCTAATGGATTTCTGCAGTGGTAAGTTGCATCGGAGTGGGCATCGATTGACTTTGGGCTAAAGTGCATTCAAGTGAAAAGTTTTTAATCATATTTTTAGAAGATTCTCGTGTAGAAACAGTTTTTTTTTTGCTGTACGCTGCATCTCAGTAGGCAGACGGCGAGGGTGTTACCGTCCGAATTCCAAAACTTCTGGCGTCCGCCAAAACGTTTACTGTGAATTATAGCAACCAGATTTTGCTAGCCTTATTTTTTGTGTACGAATAAACACAGTTTTCCTGTGTCGAACGATTCTGTCAAATTATAAATTGGTAACCGGTTTGTTACCACAGTGTAAATTCGAAGCCAAACCATTTGTCAGCGCTGTACACTGTGTTGTGTGTACTGACAATTCGTAGCAGGGATTTTGACGAATGTTTTTAACATTACCTTTGCTCACTGCCCGTTTGTGGTGAGGCTTAGTTTCTGCAGTTCGTGTACCAACTCTGCGTCGCTAATCCGTACTTCTTAATTGGCGCTTCGGCTTGAGTGTAAGCCAGTATGTTTGATTTAGAATTTCTCATTCAAGCTGAAGCAAATTTTTTTCAAGTACTCGTAAAACTTCTGTATACAAACTTTTTAGTTAGGCCAAAATGTCCATGCTCAAAGTACACGCATTGATACTGAGATCTGTAATTACTGCTGGAAAACGTTAAACCGGACTGAAGGTAATAACTGCAGCGCATTTCACCACTTACATTCTTGCAGGTGGTGATTTGGCATCACTGTTGGGAAGCTACAGAAGCAAAAAGGGCCATCTCGATCAATTAGAAGCCTTGTGCTATGCTATGCAGATTATTGACGGTGTGGATTATTTGCATGTCGAGAAAATAATCCATGGGGATTTAAAGCCAGGTAACATTCTTGTGAAGCCGAATGAAGACCATCACAAATTGCTGATCGGTGACCTTGACGACCTTATTCCCATGCAGCAGAGTATCAGTAATCCTGGAGATTTTCACAGCGTTCACGGAACTTTTTGTTACACGTCTCCTGAATGCCTCAGAAAACTGGCATCACTAGATTTTGAAAATCTTGGACAAAAATCGGACATCTGGAGCATTGGATGCATTATCCACGATTTAGCCAACTGTTGTCTTGGGATTGAGAACAAAATTTTTGTTAAAGAAGGAAACCCACCCTTATCCTCTGAGCATCTTAATGATCACGCACTGGCAATGAAAATAATTGACGGTTACATCCCATTCATCAATGATAACATTACGACACCCTTTAAAGATATGATCAAGAGTTGCTTGCAAGTGGATAGTAGGGACAGACCCTCTGCGGAAGAGTTGTTGCGCCTATGCTGCAGAAAAATTAACGGCCACGAAGCTACTGTCCGCTGTAGTGTATGCCCAATGTCTTGGACCTCATTTGGCCAAAGTGAACCAGAGTTTGGCATAGCTCTTTTCAGTGGTACGACGTACGAGAAGGTATTTGTGCAGCATCGTCAGAAAAAGAAAGCACTACTGGAAAACAGATGGAACAATCTTTGGCTGTGGAACGTCAAAAAATGCTGGATGACCTTGTTCACTCCCTAATGCTAAAAGAGACAGAAAGCAAATTTGAAATCGGAAAATCACACAGAGAGCAAGAAGAAGGAGAAGAATCGGCTTCTCAAAGACAACTGAACCAAGCTGTGGAAGCCGAGAAGGCGAAACTTCAGGAAGATTTTCGCTTGCGGCAAGAAGCTATGGACGCTAAATGGGCCAGCGAACGAGCACGCTACGAAGAAAGATTAGAAGAAATGCAGTGCATCATGAGCAAGGCGCATGAGCGCGTGAGCAAAATGGTGGAGCATCTACAGAGGCCGATTCACGATCGTGAAACGAAGTTGCAGCTTGTCAACGGTCTCCAGCTAAAAATCCACCAAACCGACCTCATACTTCTTGCTGGGACAAAAGGGATGGGCAAAAGCACCTTTTTGTGGCTACTGGGCAAAGGTGAAAAGCCCAAGCGGTCACTAAGCGATGGGACAGTGGAAATCCGTTATGTGGACAGTTTTATCGATTTTATTGGACTACGCGGATGGACACAAGAAGAACTGCTGAAACTAATGGTGCTGATGATTTACGAAGGTATTCCAGCGGATCTGATTGTATTTGGTAATGACCGCATTGATTTGCCAGCGATTGCTCTGGGTTCGTTGGGGATTAACAATCCAATGATCGTTATCATGTCCAGTCACTTCTGGAAACTTTATGAACCGCCATCAGGAGCTCAGAAAAGAATACACTTGGTAGAAACTCGAGACGGTGTTCGTCTTGTTGAACCGGAAGCGGATTTGGAGTTTATCTACAGTTTACCAGTATACGAGGATATCAAGAAGTTTCATTTGGGAACACCCATTACACATCACGAGAATCTTGAACTGTTGATCCGTAGGCGCAAAAACGTTGGTATCCGGCCGTTTCAGTTTTTGCTGGACAAATTAGGGGATACATTTACAGTGGGCATGGAGAACGACAGTATCATGGAAGCCCTTTTCCGTTTTATCTACATATTTGAGAAGAAATATGGGAAGAACAGGCTCAGTTTTATGAACTACGCTACACTGCAAGATTTTAGTTGACATGTGAGTATCGATAAAACGAACGATCGGTAGGCAGTACGGATCAGTTCGCCCGGATTTTGGCCTATGAATTCGACATGTTCGGCCGACGCACACAGATTTCGTTGACGAATTTTAATCGGCCTCTTAATGCTCCTTGAAGCCTCCTTCCGTTTCCAAAATTCGGAATTCTACTTGAATTCATTTTAAAAATTTTGGCTTCCCCTTGCATTGACTTTTTTTTCGTGTGTGGTTTGTTCAAAAACTTTTTTTGTTTATTCATTTTTTATTTGATTTTATTACCTATACTGTTATACAGTGTACTTACTAAAAAAATGGCTCTCGATGTCAGCGGCATTCACATCGCGATCGGCGAGAGTCGTGAAAGTCTGATTGCCGACTTATTTGAAACTTTCTCTGGTTCACGTAAGAAAGTTTCTGCAAGCTAACAACAGTTTTCCTGCAAACGTTAACATTTAATTTGCTGTAAATACCAGCCTACCGAAATACCCGTGTTCCACCATTGGCCAGGACGCCCATATTCCGCCTTCGGGCAAACTGTCCGACTCCGCTAGAACAAAACACTATTGCATGACTAATGCAGTTGGTCGGCCGAAACACCTTCTGGACCGTTTGACGGTTCTGAGGATAAGGAAAAGACCTCAGTTTTCCAAATTATGACCCGGTCATTACTTTTAGGTATGAGCCAACTGCAGTGCTGGTGCTTAATGTCCTTCGCACTTGTAAAGTAGTTTTCTTCTTAATTTTCATCACTCTTATTTTTCGGAACCGAAAACGCCGTATTAGTACGTAATATAGCGCCTCACCCTAACAATACGCAATAGCTGTAGCAGTTGTGTTTATATGATTTCCGCAGAATGCATCCGTCGCTTGTCGAATGCTTAATTGATAATTCTGAATATTTTTTCTGAATTCGCTGCTGAAGCCTACGAAATGAAACCTATGGCAGCATACGAAATCAGGAAAACAGATTCAACACGGTTGGGCAGACGAAGATAAAAAATGCGATTAAGAAATACTGCCGCGTCATTCTTCCAGCGGCTTATGAAAACTGAAGTGTTTTCTTGGTATTAATTTTAATATCGGCGTTTATGCTGCTATATACGGCACAACAGGGCAGCCTAAAATTCAGATGATCCGATGCGAGTTTCACAGAATAGGGGGCAGACAGGAAGGCCACTGTGCCATTGTGAGCGCTCGTGTAATATACAAGAAAACTTGAAGCGCAGACACACTACTTCACCTTAAAAAAATTTAAAGATTGTTACATAATTTATGGCAGAGCGAAATAAACGGAAAAGGTCACGGCGGTGTAAGACCGGCCGGTTTCGTAGTCTAATATGTGGTGTTTTACGGAAATATGCATAAACGGCAACGAACGAGACGGCAATTGCGAGTCAGGAATTGTTATTGAAGGAAATCGGACTGTAATCCGAGGCAACTGTCGGAAAAGCACAAAAACATCGGTATAAAAGAGCAACAAGTGGAACGGTATATCAGATAACAGCATGTACGGGCATATCGCCCTTAACAATCAGAAAGCGCATTTCATGAGAATCGGCACATACTAAGTGATTCAGGCATTGGGCAAGGGAAAAGTAGCGAGCCGAGCATCAGGACAAAGTACATGTAACACTTCTCTCCATGAAAAAGGACTGTCCGCAGTCCATAACTAATATAAGAAAAGCAGAAAAGCCAGTCAACCAGCAGTACGATAAAGCAGCTGTTTTTGCATTTTAAAATTTTCGAAACACATTCATGAAATAGCAAATAATAATATGCAAGTAATAGTTATACTTTATACGGTTAGAAGAAATACAGGTAATATAGCGGAATAATCTGAATTTTATTTTTGGAACGCTTTTAGGAAAACCGGATTGAACCGAATTTTCATTTTATAAATGTTTTGGATTTTAAATTCTCTGACTCATTTTATAATAAATGCGGTTCAGTCGATGATATCTTTCGGTCGCTCTTGAACTTGAACTTTGATCAGCGGTTAACCGTACACCAAAACCATAACACCACACCGTATTTACGCAAATAAACAGACATTTCATTTCCTGAGGCAAAATCGACACAGTACAATTTATAAATATTAAGTCGCTGGTTTCAAACATTATTCATTCGCTTGTCTAAACACACGCCTCTTTTCCCCTTTTTTTTAATGCAGCTTTAGTGCATTCAGTCTACGATGCTAAACTCGTGTCTCGCTGGTAAAAAATTTTTTTTCGTCTGCTGCAATCGAGTCGCGCGTGTGCGATCTCATACGAAATTTTGTTCTGTTTTTTTTCTCAGCAATTTTCAATGCTGTTGCTGACGGGTTTTGGTCAGAGGCATTACAGCAAAAAATTTTTTTGCTGTTGCGGACAAGTTTTCTGCAGAGATTTCACAGCAGATGGTATTGCTGTTTCAGACAGGTTTTTGTACATCGATTCTAGACTGCGTTAGTTGAGGTAATTTCGAAGCATGTGAGCGATTCTTCATTCGCGTAGACACTGTGCAAACAAACTGCTGCACCAGCTTATCCGTTAACTATATTTTTTAAAATTCCAATATCTAATTTTGCCCCAGAAAATTTCGATCTCAGTCTATTCACACAAACACCATGCGCTACCCATGGTTGTAATGCAGGTCGTTTAATCTGATCACGCACTGTTCGTTGTGAGGCGGTAATGACTGATAAAATCGGCGACCTAAAGCTTCAGGTAGCGAACCGTATATAACTGGGTTCGCTGGAGCGAACCTTAAAATTACTGGGTTCCCGGGGATAGAAACGGGTTTATCTCCAAGAACTTTTTTTTTTGAAATTCAAACGAAAATTTGACAATTCTCGAAGGAAATTTCCTGACCAATATTTTTGATAAATTTTCCACAAAAAATAAAGCGATGCTTTTTACTGAAAAATTTAAGTAAAACCTGACCATGTTAAATTTGACGAAATACAAGCGAGAACCTGACTTGATTTGAATTGTCTTAGCAAAATATAAAAAACAAAAATCGCATAAAATACAATATTTTTGAAATTTTGCAATAGAAATTTTTTAAGAAATTTTAATTAATTTGCTGGCTGACTTTACATGAGCGGGAAAATAAGGCTAATGCTAAGCGGTTATACGCTGCTCACGGTCGGTGGAGTTCCGTACCGAACCGGTGCCAACTTCCGGCGCTGTTCCATCAACGCATTCCCAAAGGTCACCGTCGGTTCCATCCGTGTTCCGACCGTGTGCTCCGGGAGGAGTCCTGGCGCCGATTGTTGATCCATCCGAGTCCTCAGCGGTCGTACGCGCATTGGCGTAGACGGGATCCTGTCGGACGGTGTCCGAAGGACGGTAACGCGGCGTCATGGGAATATCCACCGTCCGTGTGGGTACGTCCCGGGACGGGTTCCGATTGGGGTTTCCGTAGCGGTCGCAGTGACCGCAATCGTTCCCTGCCGTCGAGGCTGAAAATCATACTGCCGGCGCGAACGCGGGCGGCAACAATCTAGAAGACAGCTGAGAACGCGATTACCGTTCGGTAATACCGAACGCAAAATACCACAGCAATGAAAACGGTTATCGAAGTAAGCGAAATATTTAAGAGACTATGCCATGTCATGGACTTCATTGTACTTTGAACATATTTTGGAGTAATTATGGTACTCAAATTTGAAATACCGGTCTCCAACATCAGGCCGGATAACTCGGCTGTTAAGTCAAGAAACCGAAAAGGATCCATTGACAAGGAGTCACCGAGAGTGTCTTCCAAGTTATCCGTCAGGAATTTGGCAGTATAATGCCAATGTGCAAGCGTTTTATGGAACGTAGGGTTTACAGGAGTCCAGGCACCGTCTTGGTAGCGGTAGAGAGTTCCGTGTATAATTACCACGGAGTGCCGATGGAGGCAAACTGAGTGCCTTTTGAGGGTTTCGCCGTCGAGGGCGATCGTGTATCCGCGATCGTCGTTTTCGGCAGCGATGTACGGATCTGGTCCGCATGTAGAGTACTTGACTCCGATGGTAACATTGACTTCCGTGCACTGGTAGATAGTCGCCGAATCTCCAAGAACTACGGCAGCCTGACATTTGGGAAAACCTAGTTTGCCTCCGACGACCACAGGGGAAAACTGGCTAAGTAGAATCAGACTTTCCATTTCCGTTCTGTCGGCCTGGCATTGCAACTTGTGCAGGTGATTGAGGATTTTCATTTCTTGAAACGCGAAGAAATCCTCAATGTACTGAAGGTGGGACGATAGTAAGGTGGTAATTTCTGCCGAAAGATTTGCATTCAACCGACTTTGGATGCCAACAGGGGGACGAGCCGGAGGGCGGATTCTCTCAGTGACGTTAGGACGATACCAAGCGTGGTAAAATTTTATGCGAAGTGTCGGATGGGAGCGGACATAATGAACAGATGCGCCTTCATCGCATGTTCGTTCCATTTTTTCTTCAACCGTAAAGCTGAGTTGATGTAAATGGTCCCGAATGTGGATCTCTCCTGATTTTAATTGGAACAACTGCCCCTCGCTGTCAAGAACCGTGTTAGCACGACACTTCGTATGGTTTTTGTCGGTAATCCACACGTAAGTTACGTGTGGATGGACACTGGACTCGGAGAGAATAGACGAAGAAATTTCGCCAGTGGCGGACAGTACTGGACAGTCGTCACACGTGGTTTCGAGGGTCACGTTCTCTAAGAGACAGGTAATGACGTCGGCCCGGCGGTATTGGTTCCACCGGCGGTCAACCACAGGTATTGCGTCGTATACCCAAGTACGTCCACTTTTGGTCATGGCGTTTCCACTGCATGTCTTTGTTCTGACCATGTCACGGCACTGATCAGCGGTTACCGGGAGTGCGACCTCAAAATTCTGGCTGTTATAGCCGCCGAAGAAAAACCTTCTTGTATCGTGGTTTTCATAACCATCCGACAAGCGGAGCCGGAGAAAACTCGAGTAATGTTCTTATAGTCGAGAAGATAGTACTTCACGTCATGAGTTTCTCTGATGGGGCCGTCTAACTGCTCGCACCGG